TTACTAATACGTATTGTGCGAGTGAAAGACTTCGGCGGAAGTAGGAAGATCGGATGCAAACTTTCTAAATGCGATAGACACACACACACACACACACACACACACACACACACACACACACACACACACACACACACACTTTGTAATTAGAATCGTGAACATTTATGGGCGAAATACATTCCGTTCAAAAGTGATAATTGTATTTCATTGTCGTGAATCGTTGTCGTGAATTGATTACCGCGATTATATACGAAATAACAAAATTTTAATTTCTAAAAAAAGCAACTGCAATTTTGTAAACGGAAAAAACAACGTCATTGGTGTAACTGAGTTCTCTATTATCTGGGAACTGAAAACAAAACTCACTTGTAGGAACGGAAAGATTCTTGCAGGAGGTTTTTACTCAGCCAATTGCTGTCAGCTACCTCAAACGTGTTTTAATGCAGCTAAATATTGTCGGTGATAGTAACAGAAATATTATTTCTCGTCAGCGAGTTTTTGCGTTTGATTCTCATTCAGTTCTCATTTGGTTCTTATTCACACGAACCGTTTTTCCAATTCAAATTTAATTCTACCACAACGATCATTTATATAAGGGGATATATTATTAAATATATTTAACGGAATTATGTGTGTCATAAACGCACTAAAAAAATACTGGAAAATTTATTTGTCATATATGTAGTTTCTTTCATACAGAAAAATCAACTTTATATCCCACAAGTAAGTCCCCAAATATGCTTTTTCTCAAGGCGGTGTTTGAAATTAATATATATCTTATGTTTTGCAAATTTCCCGAGATATTCGGAGACTTTGTTTTTGAAATCCTACTGAAATGTCCGTCTGACAACGTTGCGTAATACACTAATGAATATTTTTGCAACTCTAATGAAAGCACAATACAAATAAAAAGGACTTTCCTTTTTTTTTTACTACAGATTATCCTGAAACGCCGCGGCAGATTGCATACATTACATTATTCTTCAGACTACAAATGCGTATTTTAATCCAATTAAGGTTACCGAATAGAGAAAATATTTTTACCGATCCGACATTAATTGCTTCGAAAGAAGTACCTGGCCGTCATACCCGTCGCGAATAACGCAAACTATGCAAATTTATGTTGGTCGTGTCGGGTCAAATGCCATTTAGGTCGCGAGTCTCGGGTGTTTTGAATTTCCATTCGATTAAGTAACAATCACGCTCTGTCTAAATCGACGTCGCGCGACTTATCGATCGATCGATCGTTCGACCGATACCGACCGCATATGCCGAGTACGTTTTATTAAAAGAGAGAAAAAAATAGGAAAACTCGTTAATTTGATGCACCGACAACTGGCGGCACCTGCCAGCTGAGCGTCGTCGCATGGTATCGCGATCTCCTCCCCCCTATTTCGGGGATACAAATGATACATTACGAATGTAGCGGTTCTGATTTATAAAGCGACATGGCGATATTACACAGATCCGATATTACGACCCTCGCCGTACACATTGTCGCCTTTGTCGCGAAGTTTCCGAACGATAGCCAAAAATCTTACGATTGTCCTTGTGCACTTTAGTTGCCATTTGCATAATTATATTCACGAATCGTGAATCGGCAGCAGAAATCGACACGGTCAAATAAACGTATTGAACAATTCAGTTGAAATCCTCGTTTCTCGACGATATAGAAGGTAGTACTCGAAAGTGTTAAAATGCACACCCAAATATTTAAGTATCACGTACATGGATAATATATGTGTGCACGTTGTAGAGAACGCAAAGAGATCTTGTTCTTCAACTTGAATGAAATCAGTCAAATTACCTAATCGGTAATCCCCGAAATATACCGAGAGTAAAAATATCTAAAAAAAATAACGAATATTTATTTAATGGATCCTCGTAACATATTTACTTAAATCTAAATCCTTTTACTTAAATGGAACGAACAGTTGATTTTATTTTATGAAAAGCTAAGATTTTGAGAAAATGTATATTTTCTGATTTGAAAAATATTTTATATCACTATAAGTGAATATGTGTGATTAGTACTCACCGAACAAATATTTTTTATGTTCTAAATATTCTCCCAGTGTACGCACGCGTGTATCTGCTGCATATTTTTCTTCAATAGTCCTTTTTAAAATACTTTTGCTAAACACTCTCTCCAACGGGAGAATATATTTATTAAAACTTTTAATAGAGAGGACATACTTGACTCTGAAAATTTTTGTTATTTTGATCTTTAAATCAATGAATATCTAAACTATCAACATAGAATATATATATATATATATATATATATATATATATATATATATATATTTGTATTTAAGAAGACGCTACGCTACGGGACATTCGTTATCGAGCATATCGTGCACGTTAAACAATGGAACAATTTGAACCGCTCAATCCGAGTGCGAGACGCGCGCGACGTCATGAAGCCGCGAGGTCGATTGTACACGGGGCAACCACCACGCGAGTATCGGCCACAGACGTCGCGTTCCTCCTGCGAAACTGCGCACCCTTTTGAAATTCTGCGCGCGTAGCAGAGCCGCGTTGGCCGTTGGCACGTGAATTTTCAATAGATCGCCTCCAAGTACGCGTCCAAGAAGTTTGTTCGTTTGTCATTGCTCAACGGTCGCTGGACGTCTCTTCGAGAGATACATAAGCCGATAGGCTACGTGGATAAACTTAAACTATCTATCGTGGATAATCTACGATATTTTTTAACTAAAAACTTAAAAAAAAATTGTTATCAGTCTATCTCTTTTTTAGTGTACTGAACAAAAAATTTATCTAAGTACACGAAGGTCTCCGACGAATTAGTTGAACGTTCTATGTCGTCATGAAAAAACGTCGACTGCGCGTTTACCTCGAGAGAGAAACGCATATCGAGATCGCGAAAGTAGCGCGCGCGCGCGCGAATGCCATAAGGCGCGCGTCTCTCTTTATCTCTCTCCGCTCCCCCTTTTTCTCTCTCTTTATCTCTCGTTCTCCTTGATGTACGCGTCATAGAACGAAGTAATGACGACGACGACGACGACGACGACGACGACGACGACGACGACGACGACGATGTTGCACCTGCACCTGCCTGCCCGGCAGTTGCACCCCTCTTTATGACGATGCTATCTAAGATGGTTGTGCGTGCCCCCTTCGCCGCATCGCCTTCCAGTTCGTTTCGTCGTCGTTTTGTTGCCCGTGCCAGTGCCCATGCCCGAGCTGGTAGCCGCGCGACACCTGACGCATGCACGTAAACGCGCTCGCGCGCGTCCACGTGCACGCACACGCACACACGCGAGCCATAAAGGCGGCTTACCACAGGCTTGCGTACGTGTGTGCGTGTGCGTGCGCGCCTGTGAGAAGCAACATTAACCTGCCTTCTCACACACGAAGAAGCGCGCTTAAACTCCGCTTCTATCCCCCGTTTTACCTCGTTGCCTCTCGCTCGAAACGCCGACAGGTATCACCTCTACCTACCTACCTACCTACCTACCTACCTACCTACCTACCTACCTATCTACAAACGAACGAACGAACAACCGTCCAAGCGACCGGCCCTGCCGCAGATCGCCTCGACATGTAATTTGTTCTAAACTGAAGAAATTGCTACAATCAAGCTTTCTGTATTTCTTGGAATCTTACTCAAAACGAGTAAACAATGGTAGTATCTTCATTCGAGCGATAATGAAAACATTGCCACGCAATTGCTCGAAATCGCAAGAGTAAATGTTTCACTCGAGTTTAGAATGAATTCTGACTCCATATGAGTGAATATGTTTCTGTGACGGTGAAGTACATCAGATTCACTCTTCAACTTTGAGTAAAAATATTCATTTACTGATTCAACGTAGAGAATTCACTCTATATAAGTGAAAAATCACTCGAATTTGAGTGACTCGGTGGCCACTCTACTTTTCGAGTAAAATGTCATTTTAAGATATTTGGAGAGAGAGAGAGAGAGAGAGAGAGAGAGAGAGAGAGAGAGAGAGAGAGAGAGAATACAAGAGAAACTTAAAGGAAACTCTGCTCGGATAATTGAAATTGCAATGTAATTACTGCGACGAGTCATCAGCGGATTCGATGATGAACAACCGGGTCGATATAATTTATCTTGCGTCAACGTGCAATTCGTTCGATATACGAATACGGTATTCGTTTGTGCGAGGGTGATCGCCAGTTTTGTTTGACCCAGCCGTGTGTTCTCTCTTATTAGTTCTATTATTAGTTACTTCGAGAATGACATTATCGTACGTACACACACATTGCGTATCATTGCACAGGTGAGGGAGCCATTTCTGCATCGAACATCGCGAAAGCGTGTACATATAATTTTGTGAATTTTTATTCAAAACTTGTTCTCACGAAAGTGGGAAAAAAAATGTTGCAAAAGGAAGGTCTCTATTATTACATGGGGAGAGTTTTGTACTAAAAATTATTACAGAATCTTATAATCGAAAAATAGATCGCCATTCTGCAGTAATTTATTGTTTTCTTACTTCATATGTGCTACTTATATGGATTTTAGCAACTGAAATTTTTATTTATAAATTTATTATGTTTTTCTAGCGAGATTTACCACGCTGAGAAAAAAAATGCTTAAAAAAACTTACCTGTTGGATATAACAGTTATTTCACAAAAATAAACTTTATTTCACAGAAACAAACTTTATATCCTACAAATAAGTTTTTAAATATATTTTTTTAGTGTATGCTCCTTAGTAAAACAGACCTTAGAAACACCTTAGAAACACCTTAGACCATAAGACAGACCTTAATATTTTCCTGCACTGCTAGAAACATATAGTAAGATGGAAAAAAATTTATATGAAAAAGAGGAAAAATATTTTCTCCGTGTACAACTGGATGACCTAAAATCACGCGAACGTTCTCTTAGGATTCTTGAAAGAAGCTTCTTTATTAACTCTGTATGAAATGAACTCGAAATTTAAATTTAAGCAAGGAGGAACTGTATCGAAAGTAAAATTTATTTAATCGATCCTTTTTGTTTACAGATATACCGGCTCAAGTGCCGCCGTTAACACCTGGGACCAACAAGAAGATGACCGAGGCTCTGGAAGCCTCCTTCGCGTCTTGGGAAAAAGAACGACTTCGTTTGAACATAACTAAAGGTCAGTTTTTCAAAATTGCGTAACTATATATATTAACTACAAGACGTAGGTTTCGGAAACTCGGACGCTCGACATTCTCAACGCTTCTAATTTATTATTCGCAGATGTTAGTATTATCCGTAGCACACACACACACATATAATTCATGCTATTCATCATTCCTCAGAATTTACTATTCTATAATTTCCTCCGTTTGATTTATTATTCCCGCACTGCCTCACCGAGCGAGTTGTTAAAAAATCGCTGCTAGCGTAGAAGGGGAGAGAAACACACGCGCGCGATAAGTGCGTGCGTGCGTGCGTGCATGCATGCGAGAGACGCGTAGACACGGAGACGCGGGTGCGCAATGTGACGCGATGTGCGACGAGGCGGCCGGCGATGTGCAGGAATTGTGAATGTGATGTTGATGGTTCTGATGGGGAGCCGATGCCACACATCCGGTATGCGCATTCAGAGCCACGCGGGTGTGACGTTACTTCCGGTCTACATGCCCCGGGTTCGTACCCTCGGGCCAGATCACCTACGGTCTGACCTCCGTGAACCTAACGAACACAACCTCCTACTCTCTCTCTTTCTCTCTCTTCCCCTCTTTCCCTCTCTCTCGCTCTCTCCCTCTTTCTCTCTCTCCCCCCTCTCTCTCCCTCATTCTCTCTCTCTCTCTCTCTCTCTCTCTCTCTCTCTCTCTCTCTCTCTC